ACGAATGTACGATCATTAATCACAATTAGCTGTGACCGCTGCCGTAGCCACGGCTTTAGTTCTGTCGTGTGTAGTGAAAAATTATTTTTTAAAAGGAGACTACTTTTAAAATAATACAAAATTTTATTTTTTACTTTATAACATGAATATGATTTGATAAACATCTTCTTTTTCCTTTTCCTTCATAATTCTTTACCGTGTATGATATTTTTAAATTACCAAATGCAATAATTAGTTATCGGTATATAACATGGAAAGGTGTCTTGTTCTCTCCAATAAAAGTCAAAACTATTTGACACATTCTACGGCAGTTACTTGGGACATTAAAACAATTTAGATTAGTTTTAATATGTTGGAATCAGATATTTATAACCTAAAATTAATATAACGTTCACTGTTTTCTACGAATTAAGTATGACCGGACTGTTTCTTTTTTAATCAGTTTTATAAATTATATTTATATTTATGTTTGTATCTACTGAGTATAAGACCAATTATACACCTTACGTGGAGGATATTTGCCATAGTTGCCAAACGGATTCAAAGCCGCACATTTTTATTTTGAGTAGTTATAAGAAAAACGCTGCTACCCATCTCCTGATTTGTTTCCGTCTGTCACCTCTTACGACACCCACGTGATGATATGCGGTAGTGGATATTCTTACACCGCCACGATACGGTATCATGTATCGAAAATATATTTAAACATCAGAAATACAGGTTCCTTTCCTTCACCTTTCTCTTCCCGCCGAGTACCTGAAAAGCTCACCTGGAACGCTGGGAAATCCTTTCTTCTAAAAGGCCTATGTTAAGCAGTGGACGGCTATGAGCTATCAAAACAGAAAAAGTACGATATAATATAACGGTATCTATCAAAATTCATAAGACCATTTTTGTATCAAACTGGTGCAACAGCAACATAATGCTGGCTACGGTGAATGTCGAGAAACGTAAACAAAATATGACTATAGGCACAGCATCCACTTACCATTCATCATCATCATCATTATCATTACACCCCTTCACAAGTCCACTACTGAACATAGGCCTCCCCCAAGTAATGCCACAAAGCACGGTCCTGAGCTACCTGCATCCATCGACTTCCTGCATATCTTACCAAGTCGTCACTCCATCTAGTGGGGGGTCGCCCTACACTACGCGTACCGATACGAGGCTGCCACTCGAGAACCTTTCTTCCCCATCTTTTATCGGTTCTTCGAGCTATATGGCCGGCCCATTGCCACTTCAGCTTACTAATCCGTTGGGCTATGTCGGTCAATCTGGTTTTACTGCGGGTATCCTCATTTCTGGGTCTATCACGCAGGGAAACTCCGATCATAGCCCTTTCCATAGCTTGCTGAGCGACCTTGAGCGTCCTCATACGGCCAGCAGTGAAGGATCACGTCTCAGATCCGTAAGTCATCACTGGCAACACGCACTGGTTGTACAATTGTGTCGTAATTGTGACACATCGTGACAGATGTGTCATAATTTCCCGAACGCTGCCCAGCCGAGTTGAATCCGTCGATTGACCTCTCGGTCGAAGTTGGACATACCTAGTCGGACTATTTGTCCCAGGTAAACGTACTCGTCAACAACTTCGAGCATAGTGCTCCCAACAACTACCGACATAGGTATGACATGGACATTATACATGATCTTTGTTTTGTCCATGTTCATCTTAAGACGTAGGGTCTTCTCGTCATTTAAATATATTTTAGGTTTTTAACTAAAAAATTAAATTTTATAAATTAAAAAAAGACAGTATATATTTCATCAAATCCTTGATACAAGTCACCAATTAAGAGACTAATGATTATGCTACCTTTGTACAGTCAAAATACTGCAGCCCTTTAATATATTATTAGTGGGCAGATTAGACTTTAAATTATTAATCAAAAAGACATGTTTTTGATAAACAAGTGAATATAAAATTTTGCCGAATACCTTTTATTAAATTATCAAATAATAAATTACATTTATTTATCTATTTATATACTAATTTTATCATTATATCTAAATTTAAATTATCACAAAATATTTTTAATAAAAAATAAAATAAATTTTGAAATTTTAATTTAATTAAAACTATTTGGGATATTTCCGTTGGGAGACACCATTGAGGTCATTGAGCATAGTGCTAAGGTCCTCCAGCGATTCTGCCATAAGGACTATATCGTCGTCAAATCGAAGGTGAGTGATGTACTCGCCATTGATGTTAATACCGTATCCTTTCCAGTCCAGTGGCTCGAAAACGTTTTCCAACGCAACGGTGAAGAATTTCGGGGATATAACGTCACCCTGTCTTACACCTCTCTGCAGTTGGATAGATTTCGTACTCTGGTTCTGTACTTGGATAGCCATCGTAGCCCTACTGTACAAACACTTCAGCACTTCGATATACCGACAGTCAACTTGGCACCGCTGAAGGGACTGTAGCACCGGCCAAATTTTGACGGAATCAAAGGCTTTCTCATAGTCCACATATTCCAGGCAAAGTGGCAGATTGTACTCTTCGGTCTTCTGTACAATCTGCAGCAGGGTATGTATGTGGTTTATGGTACTGAAGCCTTTTCGGAAACCGGCTTGTTCGGGAGGCTGGAAGTCGTCGAGCCACTTACCAATAGGTAGAGTTAATACTTTTTAGTCATACTTACTTCTAAAAAAATCCTATAGTCTCTTACAAATCCCACAGAATAAGGTTAATGATAAACCTAATGCCACCCTTTTAATAAACGATAAATAAAGATTTGCGAAATTTACAAATCTGACGTGGTTCCCAACACAGGCCATTGGAATCATGAACGAACGCCTAATTGCTAGTAAACGGAAAGCACAACTCTTTCAGCGCCGTTAATTTCCATTGAAAATAAATACGACCGCGGCTTACCTGTCAAAATGTCGACAGTTAAAAATGAACTGCAAAGAGCTACGCTCAACCACCGATCCGTGGCTAATTACCTTCGGGCAATCAATCTTGGAAATTCGCGCGGCGACGCTCACTACAAATAATTGTCACTGTGACCGCTTTGGACCGGCTTAATTGCTGATTCATATTCAGCTTTTTATGATAAATGCTGATTATTTTTGAATTTAACGAATATCATTGTATAATTTTACTGTAATACATGAATTGTGTTACACAACTTGCCTGCAACATATCTGACAATGGAAATTAACGTGACCTCTTTTCAAATATGCGCATTTCGCAAATTTATGTATGGTGTTCTGGAAATATACTTTTTAGTAATAATTTAAATAGTGTGAATCCTCATTACAGTATTTATCCTCAGCCTACCGGCAACCAACTGCTAGACTTAATATAAATACAGAAATGTTTCCCTTTACGTGCACACACACACACGCACGCACGCACGCACACGCACACACACACACGCACACGCACACGCACACGCACACGCAAACGCACACGCACACGCACACCCACACGCCACACACACACACACACACACACACACACACACACACACACACACACACACACACACACACACATCACACACAACACACAAACACACAAACACACATACGAACGCGCGCGCGCCACGGACCCTTATCCTACACAAGCTCTCGTCATTTTTGTCATCAGCTTGAAGTACGCACAGGTCAGCTTCCACCCTGTCACTCCAGTCGGTCCAAATGGATCGGCCAATCGGTCAAATCCAAATATGCTCTCTTGACAGTCCAATCATCTGCCATCCATTCTACATGACAAAGCCACCCATGTCGATGTGCTTATATTTCTCGAATGATGTTTGGCTGGGCCATGAGTTTTTCTAATTAAAGGTTTTTCCCGACGCTCCTGATGCCGTCTTTCTTTCTCAGGATCTTCCTTTCGGCTACTAAGTGATGGTTCTCTTCTTAAATGAACACTAACACTGAAGGTGTCAGTGTCCGTTTTAGAATAGGCATCATGACGGTTTTTCATATGCAGGTTTTTGTTTATCAACTGAGGATCCAGAACACTAGCATATTATGCATGATCGCACTTCATCTTAAGGCACTTGTTGACACCTGTTGATTATATTACGCGTAATTAGATTTCCTCCTCTCTGGTCCGATTTCCGCACTCCCTTAAACTTAATGTCTCCAAAATATTGATCTTGGCGTTAAATACGAGTATTTTTATAGCGCCTAATGACTAGATACTTTGTTTTATCTTGACTTTGTTACTTCCTCTTCTAAGATCCTAGTGGCTTCTGCAATCGATTCGCGACATTCCTATAACAGGGCAAGATTGCCAGCATATCCAATCACCCTATATCTTCCATTTAGCTCCAACCTCCGTTCTAATTTACTGTGGAATCTAATTTTAATATTTTTTGTGGCGTTTAAAACTTTAGCATACATAAAATATATATACACATGAACAAACATCCAGATGTCCATTCAGTGACCAATAAAGGCAACAGGCAACCAATATAGCAGCTACCGCGCTATCGAATCATATTGCTTTGGCTAAAATTTGCCAGTCAGATTCATTTTATTATTGAACCAAGAGTTATTATCTCGATTATTCAGTCTCGAAGTTTGCAGACATTAAAACATTGTGAAATATTAGGTTTTAAAGTATGAAACTGCCGTTTTTAAAATTCAATGAAGATAATCTATAGGGAGGCCTATTTTTTGCTGAACGTAGGAGTGTGAAATTATGATAGATCATAATGAACAAATGAAAATAGTGATAACTGCTGACAAACAAAATTTTAAAATTTTATGTCTTAGAAATAAAGATACTTCTTTATTTCATTTCAGTGATAATAGATGATAAAACTCGTTTTAACATATTATCTTTCACGCCTACGATAATTTATCATGATAATTATGAAAATCTGTCTTCAAATTTTCACCTTAAAACTCAGACTTGAGGACTGATATTTGTACAAAAATTTCTTGGTTTTGTACTGTGTCCTCGATTTAAGAAGTTAATTTAATGTTATTGGAACAAATAATATTCGATCAGTGTGTTTACAACCATCATGTTTAATTTTTTAATTTTAAGTTTATGTTGCATATTAGTATCATCAGAAAAAGTTCGTTATGATAATTTTACGTTGTACAATGTTCAACCAGCAACTGAAAGACATTTACAATTCATAAAGAGTTTGCATAAGAACTGGGAGATACTTGACTTTTGGAGTATACCGTCCACTATAATGGACCATGTTAGCGTGGTTTCCCCACCACAATCAAGAAAAGAGTTTGAACAGGAACTTGCAAAGCGAGGTATCAACTATGACATAGTTCTCGAAAATATTCAACAGTAAGTACTTACATAGTCATTATAATCTTTAAACTTTCTACGTTTTAAGCATACACTCAGGATAACACTGCTGTCGGTTGTAGGCATCTCCCAAGACAAGCAAAATTTACAAAGAAAATAGTAGTGAATTACTTAATGTTCTCAAAGACTTAGACAGACAAGCACCGCTGTAATAGTTACAGCTCTACAAATTCGTCAATAATGATTTGTAAATAAAATAGGAATTAAATCATAATTAATTAAACCATTTAAATAAGATTTAGGGTAACTTTCAAATCATCTGCGGTTTAGTGTCGTATATTTGAGTTATTCTATCTCAGTTTAAGCTATATACTACACCCGATAATATAAATAATGCGAAAAATAATTTTCTACTTGTGTAACTAGTGACGATCTATGAAACCGATACTGTATGTAATGTTAAATTCGCTAAGTTGGGTGGCGGCGCTAAGATCAATGAATGCAAATGGCTTTAGACCGTACTCTGCTTTTATAACAGTCTTTGGAGGAGGTCTTGATTTAGCTAGAGGCATATAATGTGGGTTGATGATATGATGTGATGTTGATGATAAATCTTAATATATATACAAATTACGTGTCACATTGTTTGTCCACGATGAACTCCTAAACTACTTAACCGATTTTTATCAAATTTGCACACCGTGTGCATTTTAGTTCAACTTGAGAGATAGGATAGTTTTTTCCCATGAGTTACCCACAATTTTTTGAGATTTTAAGGATTTTTAATAGGACATGACAAAGGGTTGTCGAAAATGGCAGAACAACGTCTGCTTGGCTAGCTAATTTTACTTTATATTTTAATTCACAATTATAAATATGTGTTACATATTCACTATAAATATTGCATCTGTGTTTTGTATAAATAAGTTAGGTGTACTATTTTTAATATTAACAGAATATAGTTTCTTAAATATAGTTTCTAAAATATTGAAAAATTTAGCTAAATTTGGCAAATTTCAATCAAATGGTTTATGGTTCTTTTTAGAGCTTTTGATGAACAAACGCAGACGAGAAGCAAACGTAATATTGACAATGGCTTATATTGGACAAATTATCAGACCATAGATGAAATTTACGAATGGTTTGAATATTTGGCAAGAAATTATAGTAATGTGGTCTCTTTAATTCATGCCGGTCAGTCTTATGAAGGCAAGTGTATTCTTTCTCTCCAATGATTTTTCGTACCAGTTTAATCAAGACTTTTTAATAGAATTTAATTAAGGCAATTAATGTAATTGCAAAATATGTTACTAGACAAAAATATGACTACATAAAAATATGATATGACGTACAATTTGTATTCAATTTAGAAACACTACTAACAGTAAAACATTGTTTTATTTAGGTAGAAACATCACAGGTGTAAAGATATCTCGTCAATCAGGGAAACGAGCTTTCATTATAGATGGAGGTCAGGTGGGCGCAGATTGGCTATCACCAACAGTCGTAACATATATCATAAATCAACTCGCAACGGGAGACGACCCTGAGGCAAGAGCGGCATCTGAGGAATTTGACTGGCATATTTTTCCAATTCTCAATCCAGATGGCCACCAGTTTTCACAAGATTCTGTATGTAACAATTTTAATTACTAAGTATACAGTTGATTCATCCACATAGAACTTTATAAAAACATGCCAGTCTATAATAGTAATGGTTTTTGGCAAGTAATTCAATAAGAGAAATACCACTATAAACTTAGTTTTTGCTACTATTTCAAAAACTATTTGCGGTTAGGAAAAATAAAAATTAAAGATCTATTATTTTATGCAATGAAGGTGGTACCAATTTATCTGTTAGCACTCATAGATTTTGCCTCAATACTTTTAAGGGGAGGAGTTAAAGTGTTATTGCACCCTTTTTTACATTTATGCCATTCCGAAGATTAGCTCGAACAGATAAGCAACCAGACGAATAAATATACAGTAATATCGCCAATATTTTAAAATGGTTGTTAAAATTACCACTATAATTTAATAAAAGGCATTTTTTGCCACGTATATAACACCGAACACAATATACATAAATAATACATAAACACTCACGCCTGTCACCCATAGGGGTAGGCAGAGACTACAGACTTCCATTTGGCACGATCCTGACACACCTCTCTCGCCTCATTCACATCCATACACCTCCGCATACATGCTTGTCGGTTAAGGGTACTCCGAATTTGGCCCGTTTTCAATAAATCGCCAATTTGGTCGATAAATTTTCACCTAGGACGTCCCTTTCCGACTCTGCCATTCACTTCTGCAACATAAATTTTCTTTGTCACTCTTTCCTCATTCATTCTTTACACATGACCAAACCCCCGAAGCATTCCTTTCTTAATCCTGGTCACAACATCATCTTGCAAACCACACTCTTCTCTTATTACACAATTTCTTACCCTGTCATTAAGATTCAGCCCTAACATGCTCCTTAACGACCGCATTTCTACTGCGTTCATTCTACTCTCGTGCTTCTTCTGTCACACCCAACTTTCACTATCATACGTTAAAGTAGGGACCAACACAGCATTGTGAATTGCCATACGTGCCTTTTTCGACACATTTTGACTCTTCACAATAGAGTGCAGGGCCCCATTTACTCTATTTCCCGCATTCACTCGTCGTTCTATATCCTTATTATATCTCCCATCCCTGCTAAATACGCAGCCCAAATATACAAACTCATCTACTTGCTCGATCAACTCCCCTTCTATTCTTATTTCACAAATCGTTTTACTTTCTTCTCTTTCAAAAACCATAATCTTCGTCTTACTTGCGTTCACTTTCATACCCCTTTCTTTTAATGATCTGTTCATTAATGTAACCATCATTTGCAACTCGGCCGCCGACGACGCAAGGATAACTTGATCATCGGCGTACAAAAGGCATTTGACGGTTAACTCACCCATTCTTAATCCGCATTCTTCAACTTTCAAATTTTACAAACAACTGTCCATAAATAGGTTGAACAGCCACGGGGAAGCCACACAGCCCTGTCTGACACCTTTATGGATGTCAAACCAGTCCGAGTAGACCCCGTTGATCCTAACACAAGCACTAGAGTCCCTATAAAGGGACTCCAATTCCTGTATCAAGCCAGCGCCCAACCCAAATGAGTTCAGTGTTTGCCATAGCACACCCCTATTCACTCTGTCATAGGCATTTTCCAAGTCCATGAACGCACAAAAACCCTATTGGTTTTTGGCCAAAAACTTCTCAGCGATCATGCGCATGGAAAAGACTTGATCTGTACATCCCATTCCCTTTCTAAATCCCGCTTGCACACCTCAAATTTTTCCATCAGTTTCTTTCATGACCCTTTCAATCAGTACCTTAGCAATCAGTACCTTAGCTTAGTTTTCCCACAATGCTAAGAAGGCTGATGCCACGGTAGTTTTTACAGTCCCGCTGCGACCCTTTTCCTTTATATACTGGGACTATCACGGCTTTGCACCAGTCTACCAGTACCTGCTTCAGTTCCCAGCATAAATTAAACAAGGTGTGCAGCAGACCTGCCACCACTTCCTCTCCAGCCCATAGCATTTCGAGTGAAACTCTATCATATCCGGCTGCCTTACCTGCTTTCATGCTTTTCATTGCTTTCATTATTTCACCTATACTTATCTCGCTACCTCTTTCCTCTTCTTTCGGAATTTCTACTTCACTTAGTACACACGTTGTCTCCTCACTCATAAACACGCTTTCAAAATATTCCTTCCATCTCTTTAAACTCAAAACTTCATCATTCAGAATATAGCATTCATCATAGGCTGTTTTGAATGTCCCCTGGCAGTTTTTACAAGTTTCCAGAACATTTTAATATTTGCCTGGAAATTATCCGATATTCTATCAATCTTATCTGTTCTTTCTTGCTTTTTTCTTTCAACTACTTCTTTTACTCTCTTATTAAGATGTCTAAAGACTGCCCTTTTTCTTTCAATATCATCATTCATACCGCTAGAATTACCAGCCTTTGTTGCTAGTAAATCTAGCCATGCTCTCTTCTTTGCTTCAACTTCCATACGTACCTCATCATCCCACCATAACGTATTATTTTTCCTTTCATTCTTTCACTTACTAACACCACATACTTCGGTAGTTGCATCCACTAAACCTTTCTTTACATGTTGCCTTACATTCTCCAAGTCTAACTCCTTCATACATAATTCATCCAAACCACTTATATTTTCTTTCAGTCTTCATTTGAAATTGTTTTTCTCACCTTCATCTTGTAACCTTTTTGTTCTAATATAAACTGTAATATAAGCTTCTAATATAAGCTGTAACGCAGTGGTAGACACAGATGATCAATGGCGCCAACGCCTGAATAGACAATTAATTCGGCACAAAACCAAATAATGATCCGTTCCTACGTTAGAACCCCGGTAAACCCTTGTATCCACCACTGCGCCCCTCAATCTTTCATCCACAATTATTAAATCTATCATGCTTCTATCGTCACTTCTTTCCCAAGTATACATGTAAATCCTCTTGTGGCGAAAGCAAGTGTTCGTTACAAAAAGATTCTTTTCCATACATACGGTGAGAAGACTTTCACCATTCTCATTTATACTTTCATCACCAAACGTTCCCAATATTCTTTCATAACCAAGCCTCCTCACCCCAACCCTTCCATTAAAATCTCCTAGCATAATAATATTTTCATTTCCCTTACACTTCATTAACACCATGCTTACCATTTCCCAAAACTTCTCTCGGATATAAGTGGGCTTAGACATGTCTGGAGCCAACTGGGGTCAACACAAACAACTTCTTTAAGCCCACTTTCATTCGTATCCATAACAGTCTTGGGCTTACACATTCATACTCTTTCACACATTGGCCCATTCTTTCTGAAAGGATGATACCTACTCCCTGGCGTCCACTCGATCTCGTCTACACCAGACGAGTATGCGGTATACATGCCATGTGTAGTGACATCCTTCCCCTTCCTTTTCGTCTCATTTACACATAACACATCTATTCCTCTATCATACATCATATCGCATACTTCATCCATTTTATCATTCATTGCCCCACATACATTCAACGTAGCCAGACGGGCCTCTCCGGGAGACAGAACGTGACGTTTTCCTCCCGGAGATTTTTCGTACCCCTGTCCCATTAAAGGTGCGCCGGGAACTCGGGGCCATTTTTTAATATGGTTCCTCATGGTGCGGATAATGAGTAGTATATTTTACGCCTCTACCACAGCGTGGAGCCAAGTCTGTGCTATCGGCTTGTCGCTCATTTAGCACCACCCGGGGGACACGTGTAGGGTGGGCCTAGGAATAGGTGGTTAAAGCCTACGGACGCGAGCGACTTATCCCCCAACACAATATATCAGAGGTGTTAACGAGTTAGTTCCCAAGCATAGTAAGAGTTAATAAATATTTAATATTTTAACATTTTTTTCTTCATCTAACTCAAAAAACCCACCTTTGGACATATCCACAGTGAAAAGAATTTGCTTTTTTCGTAGTTCCAAATCTCTCGCACCTTTTACTCTGCTCTCTATTGGCGGTCTAAGTACTTAATATGAGATGTAGACAAGGTGATTACACTGCCAAGGCCAGATAGGCCTTATGGCTTTCAATATATATAATGTCGATGGCTATAAGGACCTTCTGGGATTTCTTATAGTTCTTCTAGACCTCTCACGATACCTACTGCAAATAATAGATTCATGGACTCGCTAACGTTGTCATGTTAAATGAACTGTATTTCGTTTAAGGTTAGACTTTGGATGAAAAATCGGAGACCTACTTCAGGAACGACTTTTGGAGTAGACCTTGCCAAAAATTGGAATTCGCAATGGGGAGGTAATAATAATAATCATGCATGATTTTGTTCATTTTCACTATTATGATGGATTAAATTTTTTTAATTAAATTAAATATTAGTTGGCAACTAAGATAAGAAACATCTTTAATTGTGTACACGCACGCACGCACGCACGCACGCTCGCACGTACTTATTCACGCACACACTCATGCATGCACACACACACACACACACATACGCGCGCGCACTCGCCACACACACACACACGCACACACGCTTACACGCACACACGCACACACACACACGCACACACGCATACACGCACACACGCAACACGCACACACGCAACCACGCACACACACACACGCACACACGCACACACGCATACATGCACACACACGCACACCCACAAACGCACACAGGCGCACATGCGCACACGCACACACGCACACACACAGAATATGCCTGAAACTTGTTTTATATGTATCTACATATATATAATCTGATACTTATATATATATATATATATATATATATATATATATATATATATATATATATAACAGAGGAGAAGCCTATGCTCATAGGCACGGTTTAGAGCTCACAGTCTAAAGTCAATCCATCTAGAGGGGAAGTGGGTAGCTGCACTTTTCTTACCGGCACAATACTGCCACTCGAGATATTTCTGTGTATATATTTTATTTTTATTTTAAAGAATTTTTGCATATAAGATATTTTTTGGTTTCAGTTAGCGGAGGAAGTTACAATCCAGCCGATAGTAATTATATAGGCTTAGGCCCATTCTCAGAACCAGAAACTAGATCTGTATCACGTTATATAGAAACTATCGGATCGAACCTGGCTGGCTTATTGTCCTTTAGAGCATTTGGACAAAGACTTTTGATACCATTCGCCCATAGCTCCGATCCGTTGTATAACTATCAAGACATGGTAAGCTTCATATTATATGCTAACAATAACGTATTTTAAATTTCAATTTAGTTTTAAGATATTTAAATAAAAGCATATTTTAAATTATATAAATAGTTACTAAAAAGCTAAATAATTTAAGATACTTTTGTAAGCTAGATAGCTTTTCTATAGGTATGTGTGTTGGTTACAGCAAACATAATAGACAGTAAATACATGTATGCATGTATCTGTATGTATTTATATATGATAAAAAACGCAAAAACAGTATCGAATGAACATAAAAAAGAAATTCCAAATAAAAATAAAGCGTTATTTTTATCTGAAAATGGCTAGTTTATCGTGACCAAGTGATACTATTTAACACTTTGAGTAGGTATAATACTCAAAGATTTAACACAATGTTGGCACTACGGGAACATAAAAAGCAATCCGAACATTACATATTCGAGCACTGAGATTTGTTTGTTCTGAGTTGACGCAGATACCACAATCAGAAATAGTAGTTTCGTTTATATTGTGCTTATTTTATATAAATACTAGCAATTTGCCGCGGCTTCGCACGACTGATTCCAGGATCTCGACAACAGCGCCACCTACCGGGTTCGTACTTTAAGTTGACGTTGGTAAGGCCGTTATAGTTTAAAAAATCTTATATATCATGCATGAGCTTTAATGATCCTAGTGAGATATTACATCATACATAGTAACAAAATGATTGTGTTGTCATCAGTTCTTATTATGTCTGAATATTGTCACATTATTTAAATATTCAGAAGTGTGTGAAACTAATATTTCTCTAATTTGTTACTTAAGCGTCAAGCTGACATAAGCGTGTTAAAATAAAACTTTTGTTACAGGTAACTATTGGAAGAAGAGCTATGGGATCATTGGCTGTTAAATACGATACACAGTACCTTGTAGGTACTTCTAAGAATGTACATGGTAAGTTTTAGTGCGATCAACATACCCAGACTAGTGACAGGGGAGAGCATCAACTTCTGGAATTGCCGTAACCAATTCGCCTAGCGAGTGTGGTGATTATTGCAAATCTTTCCTACATTGGCCTATCCCAGCCGTAGGCTGTTCAGATTATTAATGATTAAGAACCCGATTTTCCCACTAAGCATAAAAAATAATGTCATCCGGACCGAATTTGGTATCTGTGGCCAATCTCAATGGAGACTAGCCATCTGCGCAGGACAGGATTATAGTCTTCAAGTGTATGCATAAGCACAGGTGTACTCTATTCCCTCACTCTCATAGTCCGCGGGGACGGAAGTCGCGCACAAGACTGATGGCTTTAAATGATGTTCGAGGCACGGGAGTGAAACCCTGCTTACTTTCAAACACCGGGCTGCTACTGCTAGTTTCTTGATAGAAAAACACAATAAATATATTTTTGGTCCGATCCAGGGTTCTAGTTAGTAGCTAGTAGTCTAGTTTACGACTACTAGACCAACAAGCTAGTCAGAGTAAGAATAGTAACGTGAACGTTAGTATGCAGATAACTCTTCACATTATCAAACTTTTTTCAAAACGTAACCCTGGTTAACGATACTAAATTGGCGTTCACTTGTGAGATCGCTAATTTAGGATAGTTCACTAGCTACTATTATGGTGATGATGATGGTTATAAACCTTCAATGAATTTTAATTGTAACAAAATTATTTTATTATGAATTAATATTTCTCTCATTGTAATTGTTACAGATGGTTCTACGGGTAGTATCGCCGATTGGGCAAAACACCGCTTTAATCCTCCTATTGTAGCAACTTATCAACTGCGAGACAGGACTTGGGGATATACACTTCCGGTGAATCAAGTGCTACCTTCTTGCGAAGAAACTTTTGATTCTTTAATGGCCATATTAAGAGAAGCTAAATTCATAAATATATTGTAAAATATGAAACAAATTACACTTAAAAGGATAAACTTTTTTTTTCATTATTCCATAATCCTCTATCGTCCCCTGGGTCTCGTAAAAGAAACAAACCAGGAGATGGACTATAGTGTATTTCTAATATCAACCAAAAATATTAAAAAATCTGCGATTGCCAACCCGCCTGACAAGCGTGGCAACTATCGCAGATATCCCCCTATGAGGCAATCTATGTAAAGGACTAAGTTCATCAGTGTACTTTTGGTAAGCTGATACAAAATGTCCACTGTTGAAGAGTAGAGGCAACTTTGATAGATGCCAGTAAATGTGTGGCAGTATTATAGTGCTCCTTCACTCTCATATTCCATAAGACAGAAATTCGACACGACTGGAGACAGATCCAGTACAGGATCAACAGCGTAACGTGCTTTCGGAGTTACGGAGGTGAGATACCGCGAACTTCCCAACTCCTTGATGCTACTGTGAATTATTTGTCAGAAAAACACAACAACTGATTTTGACTCGACCTGGGATTCGACGCCGAGACCTCGTGATCACCAGCCGCGTATCTGAGCACCATAACAACGAGGCAGTCAGATTGTCTGTCTTGTGTTGTGATTATAGAAGGGATAAAGGTAGATATACTGTGTGCCAACCTAAGGGAAGATTCTTTAATCGACATAAAATGAAGTGAGTTAAAATTAAACCGTAAATAATTTCTCAGACAGATTTAATTTATTCTAATCTAGCAAGAAATAAAATTTTAGTGATGATGTAAACGAAAAAGATGTTACTCCAGTAGACAAGATGAAGAATGAAAGACAAACAATGGAATTTTTTTAAACAAGCAAAAAAAAATATTTGTAAAATGATTTTTTTATCCGTATAATCTCAAGTTAACGATAATCATTATCGCTAAGAATATTTGGATAAAAACGATTGTAGCTGATAGATTGCAGAATATCCTTTGAATTTAATTTAATTTGACACATTAGATTTTAGGTTTAAAAAAATTATATCTCATTAGAAACAGAGTTTAACTTATAATGAGATATACAGTAAATTACATATAAAAAATCAGATATTACCTCTGGGGCTTAATAATGTACGACTAACATATACAACATTTATGACTAAACAGTAAAAAATTATTTTAAAATTACTATATATTTCGTGACCCGTTAACCAAGCCATGCGCACTTTAGATCGTACAATCCTACCTCCCGTTCGCTTAGTAGAGCACGAATTTGATCAGAATTATGTAAAACTGTGTACCTATAAAAAAACTATTTTTTCGTTTTAAATAAAACCAAAGACACTATGCAATAGATAATAGTATCAAAGACAAAAATATGCTCTTTTATTTTAAACCGTAACCTGGCAATGTTTCTTAGAAAAAAAAAAAGAAATCACTCTGGACTTTCGGCGTTCCACGTGTCGTTTTGATGAAGGTGTCCGTCTTTTTTATAGAATTTTATATTTGTGTCTGGACTAAAAACGAAAGTATTATACTTTTTTATATTCCTTGTAATATAGTGAACACGTAGATATATAATTTGTGGTATAAAAAGTGAAAAGTAAATCGCCAAAAGTACTTCAAAATCTGGAAGGCCCATTTTGGCGGTTGGGTCATAAATGTGTTATTTCTCAAATTCTCATTTATTTTTAGGGTAAAATGTAAGTACAAATAGTTTTCTTACATATTTCAAATAACTTGACGTTATATTTATTTCAAATTCACACAAAAATATGTTTGAAATATTGTTCGAAATGTCATACAGATAAAAATTATTATTTTTTTTTAATTTTTTAATATTCTAATATTTTGGTATGAGTAACGAATGGAAACACATAAAACATAAAAATATACATATTTCCAAACATTTTCATATAAATTTCTCCAAAAACAAAAGTGTAGAATTCAAATTAGTAGTAATTTTGTCACTAAAATTGAAGTATATACTACTACTATGCTATACAGGGTAATTTACGTATTTTATTACAATTTCTAGCAACCAATAATAATTTTATTCGATAGTTTATACATTCAACAAGAATTCCTGTAAGTTTTATCCATAAATATTGTCTCAAAGTGAAAATATAGCAAAATTTGCAATATAGCAAAAAATTTTCTAACTTACAAATTTTCCCGCCATTAAGGTCCCGAGTAAACGGGAGTATAACATGTCGCGCGCTCGCTTGGCGAACAGGTAAACGTGTGCAAATGTTTTGAGTGTTATAGAATCTATCGCCATATCTAGTTTTCGAGGTGATTTTAAATTTACATTTTTTACATTTATAAAAATTCATATTATTTAAAAGTTTTTTTCTTCACCTAAGTCTAATTACCTTTGCCAAGCAGTAGTTTGCCCTAAGAGAGTCATATGTTCCAGTGTAGTGTTAATTTTTAAATTATGTTAAATATCACGTCAGCGGTAGTTAAATACAATATAACAATATGATCGCTTTTTTAACGAAATCTATGTATATTTAAATTGTAATTGTAATCACAGTACGCGAGCAACCCGGTTTCGAACGCCGCTGATACAAAAAAATTGTTAATTGTAATTTTAAGTGCATTAACACGTGCTCAGCGGTGAAGGAAAACATTGTAAGGAAACCTGCAAGTCTGAGAAATAAAAAATCTAATAAACGGTTGACCCTGCAGGCGATCCCTGGAACTTCCCGCTATTTTTGATCTCAAAATGTTCGACAAACATTTTTACGAACGAATTAATCAAAACATCAAAAATGATCCAAACAGAAATTACGAAGTTATTTTTATTTCTATTTTTGACGGCGCTATTTTTTATATTTTATATTTTACGCTATTATTTATATTTTATTTTCTTTATTTTTTCTAACCGGTAGTATTTGTTTACTACTTATACTTAACCTGGGAGTTTGTTACTGCGGTCATCAGTTTCGTTTCCAAGTAAAGCAATAACGACAAAGTTTTTCTACCATATGAGGAACCATCATTATTAAAAGCGACTATAATGGTTCTATACTAAATAACTTACTTGATCTTAATTGATACAGCTCTATTAAATTACAATCTAATAATAACATTTATCTGCAATGATTGATCAATTGATGACTAGCGTAGCCTGTTTTCTATTCATAAGCCTATCAAAAGTCTACTATTCAGCACTAGACCTTTCTCATAGCTTACCCTATAAGTAGTATCCTCCAGACCAAGACCAAAAATCTCTATAGAGTTTAGCTATCTGCGCAGGACAGGATTGTAGTGCCCGGATGTATGTGCAAATACAGGTGCAATCTCTAATCCTTCACTCACATATTCCGATAAGATGAAATCCGATTCAACCGGGGACAGATCAAGCGCAGGACCAACAACAGCTTTACGTGCTTTCGGAAGTACGGGGGTGAGATATCGCTAACTACCCGACTCCCTGATGCTACTGTGAATTCCTGGTCAGAAAAATACAACAACTGGTTTTGACTCGACCTGGGATTTGACACCGAGACGGCGTAATCAGCAATCGCATTTTTGAGCACTAGACCTACGAGGCAGTCAAATTGCCTTATAGAAGGGATATATGCCTTTGTTACCACGCCAGGTAGACTGTGTGGGAATCTATGCGAATGCGATACTTCAATCATCATAAAATGAGGTGAGATAAAGTTAAGCCGTAAAAACTTTCTTAGACCAATTTAATATTGGTCATTTCATGTCGAAAATAAGTATTATAAATCTCAATATTAAAAATCGTAAAATTTTAGTAGTGACGAAAAAGTAGAAGGTGGGGTACTATTAAATGAGAGGAAGAATTAAAAAACGACAATTTAAAACAAGCAATAAAAATTGTTTTAACCTCTCAACCCCCTAGCGGTCTCATGAGACCGCAGCCATATTACGTCAAATCCCTAGCGGTCTCATGAGATCGCACCCACCCACAGCACTTTAACCAATAAAAACTTATATATAGAGACTCTTTTCCATGAAGAAGTTTGGCATTATGTAATCAATATGAAATACTCTATCCTCTAGTGCAATAAAAAAACTGTTATCCTATGAATGTTTATTTATAATCTACGTTCATTTCGTACGCCATTTTCGCGTGAATGTATAGTATAGTGTTTTACGAGTATTATAAAATTGTAATGAAAGTTTTTGTAGGAATATTATTTATCTTTTTACGTAAATAATTTCGAGTACGTTTATATATATTGAAATAATTGTAATTTTTTTTTGTTATCAAAATACAATAAAACCTTTTTGTAATGAAGTAAAACCTGACTTTTGTTTAGACCATAGGATAGAGAATTTTGAATAGATTTTATAATGCTAAACTTCTTCATAGAAAAGTAGAGAAAAGGAAGTAAACTTCTTCATAGAATCTATACAAAATTCTGTATCCTGTGGTCTAAACAAAAGTCAGTTGTTGTATGTATTTTATTTCGATTCTCCTGTCAAGTTACGACATTTGCTGAACATACGAAAACGGCGCAATTTTACGGTAGATTAAAAATAAAAATTCATAGAGTAACTGACTTTTGTTTAGACTATAATACAGAGAATTTCTTATAGATTTTATAATGCCAAACTTCTTTATAGAAAAGTAGTCTCTAAATATAAGTTTTAATGGTTTTAAGTGCTGTGGGTGGGTGCGGTCGCATGCGACCGCTCGGGACTTACCGGGCGCATGTTACTGCATGGTATTTTTATAGCGCTTGAAGCGTTAAATTGATTACTAATACCTAAAACACGAAAATTCGTTGGTTCTGCGCCTGATCTCTCGTCCTGTCCGTTTGGCGTCCGATCTGACAATGAGAGTAAGGGAACAGAGAGTGCACCTGTACTGGTGTGTACACGGGCAGTATAATCGGATAGGTTTATAGTGCCCGAGTGTATGCGTGCACAGTTTAGCTAATCTCCATTGATATCGACCGCCGTGACCGAAATTCAGTCTGGAGGACATTATAATTACTATTATACTTATCCCTATAATGTTAAGTAAACGATAACCATTATCGCTAAACGTTTTGAGATAAGA